AACGTTATTATCCCCCTCATTCATCCCCACCATCTCGTATTCACCAGCACCGTCTCTCCCTCTGCCCCTCCCTCGCCCTCTAGATTCTCCACCTTCGTCCTCTGTAGCTGGTTGTGATCGCGCAGGCGGCTTGCTACCGAAATTGATTGGCTTCAGTTCGCGCCACTGGCATGCCCACACGCCCAGCGAAGTCATGATGGTCGCGCTGCATATCTGGAGGGCCCACCAGAACATGTGGGTGGGTATCGCGTGCGTATATAGGGAGGTGACGATCAGGTGGATAAAGTGGACAGTCAGGGCGAAGTCGAGAACGAGTTTTGAGCGCGCGATAAGGAGAAGTATGAAGATGGCACTGCCGCGTGTTAGACCATGGTATGACTGATTATCCAGCGCGATCGAGTGCTTACCAAGTGAGACTATTCAGCACCCAGACCAGACCCAGCGTCCATCCGATTGTGGTATCGCCGCGTAGACTTTGCCAACTGAATAGGAGATCGGTGCTGACCTCCTTGCCCGCTACCAGCGCGGTGAAGAGGATGAGGACGCCGGCGCATGCATAGTAGGCAGCCTGTAGGAGTACAATCTGCGTGAGGATGCGGGTTGGGGACAGATCCGCAAGTGCGCCGGGTCGTGGAGGGCGGCGTCGGCGTGGCATCAATACGCGGGCGATGCGCTATAACCCGAGCATAAGGGGAGTTGTCGATTTGGCTGTTGTAGTTGCAAGGTTGCCTGTTGATTCATGGGTTCCCTAACGGTTCGGCGAAACGTGGACAGCCAGCGCCGATGTCATAGCTTAGGGTCTGCCAAGCACGAATTCGACATCGCTGCGCTCTCCAACGTCTATCGACAACAACCCTATCAACTCTACAAATCCGACCTCCAGACTTACACTACCGACGTACGTTATCACCCCGATTCGGTCTACCTGCGAATACCCCACCTTGCGACTGACACCCGCGCCAGTTTCGACCGTCGCCTCCACCTCCGCATCTCCTCCGCAAGCTCGAAAATCGCCGCCATGGGTTGGTTCGGCTCAAGCTCCAAGGACGACTCGGGCGTCAAGAAGACAGAAGGCGGTGCATTCGAGTCGCCATCGCGATCCAACCGGAAACAATGTTACGCTGCACGCGACGCTTTCTTCGAATGTCTCGACAAGAACAACGTCCTGGATAGCATAAATACAAAGTCTGGTAGGGACAAGGCGGCCAGCTTCTGCTCGTCATTCGATCAGGAGTTTGAGAAGAACTGTGCACACAGCTGGGTACGTCAAATCTCGCAATCGCCAGCAGCATACTTCCATGCCCGTGACAGAAACGGCGACTATGGCACTACAGGCTTCTTGGACTACAGATTGGACAAGGAACACACCCGAATACTAGGCTAACATTCTCTAGGTCGAATACTTCAAGAAGCAACGAGTCGTAAACTACCAAAGAGAACAGACGATCAAGAAGATCGAGATGCAAGGTGGAGAAATCACTGCCCCGCAACTACCACTGCCGGGCCAGAACAGATAGATGGAGGATGGCTGAACAGCCCTAATAATGCCGCTCATGACCAATGTACAATATGTATACTACTCTCAAAGCGCTCCCAAAAAGCGTTTGCAGCTATCACGCAGCTCGGCTTCCCTGCCGTTCTAGACTTCTCACACGATGGGGCATAGCACCCACACACTCTCTATGCACTCAAATGCAAGGCATCGCGTTTACCTTAGACCCTCAGATCAAATGGAAGTGCATGAACCTCCCACCCTCAGCGCGCGGTCCTGTAGCCCGGCCCAAATATCCAACACACTACCTTACTCGAACTGTGACTAGACTCGCATAATGTCGTCACCGGAGCTTGGGAACGCTCACCGATGTAGCCTAGCCATAGAGTGTCGAGCCGCGCCTGTCAAGTGTACTCCTTGCATGATGGGTTCGTCGCATAGACGCAAGGACGAATCGGGGATCAGCGGTGTTTAGCTTGTCAATGCAGGCCTAGGAGTAGGCGCGGGAGTTGTTTCCATGCAGCATCGTAGCGTGAGTTCTGTAGGTCAGGCCGCGTCTTGGCCCTGATGCCAAGGGCGGTGACCTTTTGTTGGTCACCATACCTCCAGGGGCATGTGGCATGTGGCTGCCTGTCGGCAGTTTCCTTTTGCCCGAGTCTTTGTTGCTGACAGCCTGACAGCGGTAACTCTACTGTTGAGGGGGAACATGGAAGTCTTCAACTCTGTTTGGCAACCCCTCATCAGCACGAAAGCCTAATCAGAGTAATCATCGGATTCAACATGCGCATCGGAATCAACTTTCCAGGGCCCGGAATCCTACACGCACCAAAACAGCAAAGTGCAAGGAGCATGACAAATGTCTTGCCGCAAGACAGCATGTTACCCAATATTGTTGATTAATACTGATTGGCTACTAAGACGTGCAGGTTTTAGCCGCAGAATCGAGCGGCAGTAGCAGCAGCGCGCCACCTGGTTCGACTCGTCGGGTCGGCGAGATCTGAGCTTTTTCTCGGTTATCTATGCATACAGAAGACCCCCACCCCACCATTTCCATGACTTCATCCGGGTCAAGTGGCTTATTCTACCCCTCCATCGGGTTGGTGCGTCGCCGAAGGATCCTGCCTCCGTGTGTACGTGTGCGTGTGTGTGTGCGTTTCGGTTCGTGTGCTTTTGTTCGTAGGCTTCGTGATCATGTCCCATGCTACCCAAAAGCTACCCAATGCTGATCCGAAGATTTTGTTACTGAAGTTCGTGTGCTTACATCCTCGATGTCGTCCTAGTGGCACTTGGTCACCACTTTGTCGGCCAAATAGTCGCAGGGTCGAACTCGCGCCTAAAAATCTCCACATCGGACGCGCACCCTTTGCTCGGCGACCCAACCATACTACTGTCGATGGCAAACACGACATCCTGGAATGCGCCATGGAACTCCTCCTCTTCGAAGAGTAGTTTCCTCCACATTCGGGCTACCTCCTGTGCCGGGTTTCGGAATATAGGCCCTAGTCCAAAAGCGCCCAATACCAAGTTCCTGTGCCCGCAGTAGGAAGCGATTCGCAGTACTGCCCGCATTTTCTCCTTCATGAGCTCCTTCTCTTGTGCAAACGAATACTTGCAGCCGCTCTCGTCAAGCTTGGGACGCCGCACGGGTGCAACGGATATTACAGGTAAGGACGCTATGTCTGTGAAAGTTGCATAGTCTTGATCTGGGCCTGCCCGGAAAACAACTGCGGCCCGTTAGTGACTTGTGCCTCGTGACGATCGTTACTAGCATGCCAACGTACAGACTTCAGGGGAGTAGATGCCGCCTGTCTGTGGTATTGGGTAATAGTTTTCTTCTCGGCCCAATTGCGCGTTCCAGGGCATTGTCAGGGCATGCACGAGGTTGCTTCTCCGCGCGAAGCATTCCTCTGGTGCCATGAGCCCAGATTCCCAGTCACCTCCAGCGCGCTTCTCGTTTGCTACGTTGATCACTGGTATCCGCTTGCACTCTGGGTCTGCGTTGACAGCACTTTGGTACCAGCCCAAAGCGTAGTTCACGGGGTCGCCTTCCATGACTGCTACTCTCGTGCGTTGTGATGATCGCTTGTCCACGTTGATCCTTATTTGCGAGGAGTCTGGGTACAGGTATGAGGTTTTGGAGTCTCGGATGTAATGCTTCCAGATATGCGGCATCCATACGCGTTTTGCTTCGGCTGCTATTTCTGACGGCTTTGGTCTTGATGGCGGCATGGTAGTAAAGTACTGTGAGGGGGTTCCTGTGGACTGCTTGTGTGAATGGACGTATGATGAAGGTGTAGTTGACTGCAGTGTGGAACAGCGTGAGAGGAACGAGGGTTGGCAGTAACGAAAGCGAGTCTGTGACCCAACGGGCGAGAGGGTAGTATATCACTTGAGCAGCTACTCAAGGGCGTGTGATAACGCAGCTAAATAATGGTTCCAGATGGACCCCGGAGACTAAGCTGGCGTATTTCCACTGCGCCAGCTACCAAAACGGTAGTCCACTGCGGGAATCAAGCCTTCCCCTGTGCATGCAGTCATCGCGGGTAGCATCTACACCAGCCGTAGCGCAGACCTGCAGGAAAGATGGAGCCATGAGTCGTGTGCCCGAGCAGTCTAGGGAAGACACAGATGTCGAATGGCCGGTAGCAGCCGCGCCTTGTGATTGCAAAAGTTCATCCTGGTCCTGGGGGCCATGCCGTGCACCCACATAGCTGCCAGGCACCTTAAGCCACCAAGTGCCGTGTCGGGTTCCTAGTGTGTTGGAGCAGGGATGTGTGGCTGGATCGATCGTCCAGGCCTTGAAGCGATCTGCAAATATTTAAAAGCGGTTTAGAAAGATCTGGCGGCGTTGAGCAAGCCGATGATGACAGCTGCTAACCAAGATCCTGCACGATATAGCGTCGCAGTAATAGCGTCGGCACTAAGATCCGGATGCAGGGTAATGGTACTCTGCTGGAATGCATGGCGTTCTACGAGGCGTCTTCCTCACCGCCAGCGGAGGTGGCACGAAAACGTCCATCTAGCGAGCATTTCCGCCACTTTGATGACGGGTCCTTGCCTGGAAGTATCCTGGCAGACGGTAAAGGTTGTACAAACGGCCATCGAGCTTGGTGGGGCGTGGCGTTTGTGTCTTGGTGTGCTTACTGGCGGTGGAGGGGAGGAGGAAGCTGACCCACCCAATGATGGTCAAGGGAACGACCAAGAAGGTCACCAAGACCACAGGCTCCTAAGGCCATCGGCGCTATGCTCATGGGCCTCAAATCTCGTGAAAGGACATGGTCGGTCCTTGCAGCACATGATGTTTCAGCCATGGCTGAAGTGTTACAGTCGAGATCAACGAGCCACAGGAACGGCACGGGCGAGGCCTTCGCGATCCTAGCGTGGGGTCCAAGCGTTCTTCGTTTTTTTCCCAAGGTTTCGCAGACATCAACCCGCACGTGTGATAGAGAGTGCTGTTTCTACGCTACACTGCGCAGCTCCTGGCCGATCGAAATTTGCCGACGCGTAAATGAATTGGCTCCTGCCTGTTCGGAGGAGCGTTGTCCGTCCCCAGCACCTATTCCGAAACCGGGGAACCGCTCTACCTTGCGCACATGCACTATCACTATGCCGTCCCCGCTGCAGTTCCACCTTCTGTCCAAACACTATTGCTGAGCTGCTAAGGCCAACTCAATCGGCCAGTTCGTCTCAGCAGAGTGCACAGGACAACGAGGCACTAACGATAAACGGCTATGTACGGACGGTGCGCAAGCAAAAACGCATCGCATTCGCTGCTATAGGCGACGGCTCGACTTTGCAAACAGTCCAGGCCGTCCTGCCTCCTCAACTAGCAGAAGGGTCAGTAGCTCCCTTTAGAACACTCTGTAAGTACTGACATGCTGTACTATCAGACTCTCCACGGGCACTGCAGTGACAGTCACGGGAAAATGGACACCCTCACCAGGCCAAGGCCAATCCCATGAACTTCAAGTCAACCACGTGCGAATATTGGGAGAGAATGATGCCACAGTAAGTCAACATGAGTGAGCCTCGGAGTCCTGCCCGATGTCTGATCTGAATCTTAATTCCAGACCTACCCAATCCAGAAGAAATACCAAACGCCCGAATTTTTGCGCACACTCCCACATCTCCGAAGTCGACTACCAATTAACTCGCTTCTCTTGCGGCTGAGATCGCTAGTCACTGCACAAGTGACCAACTACTTTGCGGAACATGACTTCATTCAGTGCCATCCACCAATCATCACCTCCTCCGATTGCGAGGGCGCAGGAGAGGTGTTCACTGTGGCGCCTGGAGCACCTTCTTCAGCAGACAAAAGCTCTTCGAATCAGGTCAAAAAGCAAGAAGACATGTTTTTCGGTTCCCCCAAGTATCTGACGGTCTCCAGTCAGCTTCACCTAGAGGCTTTAGCTCAGTCAGTAAACAAGGTCTGGGCCTTGTCTCCAACATTCCGAGCCGAGAAGAGTGATACAGCCCGTCATCTTAGCGAGTTCTACATGCTGGAAGCAGAATTAGCTTTCACAGAGGATGTGAATGTCGTCATGGATGTTGTGGAAAATATGCTGCGTTCCGTTGCGTTGAAATTACAAGAGTCGGTTGTAGGTCAAGAACTTCTCGAGGCACGAGCACGAGACCAGGACCAAGAGAGCACATCCGTGTCGCACACTGTCCTCGCACAACGGTGGCAAGGGCTGGTAGCGGGGCCATGGCCTCGAACCACCTATGCGGCCGCAATACAGCACCTTAAAGACGCAGTGGCTCAGGGCAAGGCGGATTTTGAGTATGCACCTGGTCATGAAGATGGTCTCCAGACCGAGCACGAACGATTCTTGGCTGAGAGCTTGGGACGCGGTGGACCCGTATTCATCACTGATTACCCACGTAACATCAAGCCTTTTTACATGGCGCCGTCAAATGACCCGACAGCTGACAACCCGGCCACCTCGACCGTCGCATGCTTCGATCTCCTTGTACCTGAGATCTGTGAACTGGTCGGGGGCTCTATGCGTGAACATCGACTAGCAGAACTCTTGCAATCCATGGACGAACATGGTCTTCAACAAGCGCCGGATAGCACTACCGACGCATCAGACGGCTCCCTGCAGTGGTATGTGGATCTCCGCCGATACGGCAGTGTACCGCATGGAGGCTTTGGTCTAGGGTTCGATCGACTCCTGTGCTACCTCGCTGGTGTATCTAACATCAGGGACGTAGTCAGCTTTCCCCGGTGGTACAAGCGGTGCGAGTGTTGATGCGCAAACAAGATATAAGGACCTCCGGTATCCCGGATCACGGCATCGCCAGCTGGTCACGGACGTGGCATCTCGTAACGTGGCATGGCAGAGGGGCTGGATAGCATTGCTTGTTGCAGCACATGAAGACCGCGCGTTCATTGTACTTGTACGATCAGCTGCCGGCTGTACGATAGCTGCTCATTCTGCTCGAATCTGCATGGGATAGCCTCGGACCAAGGCACCGTGAGCTATCTACGAGAAATAGCTCCGGGTGTCCAAACTTCCGTGTGTAGACTTGCCCTATTATTCAGCTTGCGAGGCGGAGTGGAGACGAAAGTTCGCTGGTTGTCCATTTGTTATCAAACACTGTGCTCAGTGCACCTAGCGAGCTTTGCAGGTGAAGCTCGGGCATGCACTGTGCAAACCATCCCAAGATCGGACATTATTCAGCATGCGAGTCTGGATGCGCTAATCGAGACTTGCCGACTTTGCGGGGTATCGTGAGCAAATTCAAGCTTTGCGAACAACGTGTAGACGAGTGGCAGCGGACCAGACGTGTGTGGCGGGCTCGAGGTGCGGGCGGAGATGATCAGATAAGATATACCAAGCACCTTCCCCCTCCCACATCCGAGGCACCTTGGCCGAGTCTAGCTATCGCGTTGATGATGTACTTGATCTCCGCGGGCACCTGTCACCGATTTACGGGGCATTTGGGTAGGGCGTCGCGAAAATGCGCCGTCCGCCATGGCAAACAGCCTCAGGATGAAAACTTCGCTGGCAGACGAAGTGGCATGCGCATGCGCAGGTTTGCCATGGAAGCTCCGGCATCGCTGGTGGAGGCATGGGTACGTAAAGGGCAGATAGCAGCGACTCAGCGAGAGTACCTAGTCGCGGGCGGAATCTAGGTCTGACGTCTCGGCGTTCGGCTGAAGTCATCTCGCGCTTCCGTTAGTTGCAAACAAAAGTAACAACTTCAATTTCAGACAATTGCCCACTCACCACAGTCGCCCCTCTGCATCGACGCGCGGAGGCTCTACGTCCACCCCAAAAACAAAAACCCTCTCAAGTCGCAAACCTGGAATCCGCGGCGCCAGTAGCCGGCCGACTTATGGCCCCCAATGATCGGCCATCAGTTCCTATCGAAGAAGAACACGAGTACAGCTCCATTGCACCGCCGCACATGAGAGACACCCGTCGCTGACTTGCGCGCCAGTTATGAAGCGCTCCCGCCCAACTTCTCCCTCACCGCCAACATGCTTGCGGGCGCATTCGCAGGTGTTGCGGTACGTCTCCGAGGTCGCCGCCGTGTATATATCCCGACTGACCCGATGATAGGAACACTCGGTGATGTACCCCGTCGACTTGCTCAAGGTACGCAGCTTCCCACCAAGCTCTCCATGCACTGCCGACAGCGCGCTGACTCCGGACAGACCCGCATGCAGATCGTCAACCCGTCGCCGAGCGCCATGTACAGCGGTATCTCGAACGCCATGGTCACTATATCTAGGGCGGAGGGCTTCTGGTCACTGTGGAGGGGACTTTCGAGCGTGGTAATGGGCGCAGGTGGGTTGTTTCAGGCGAGCAAGACCGGCAAGGAGAACTGACAGAATGCAGGTCCCGCGCATGCCGTCTATTTTGCATCCTATGAAGCTACAAAGCACGCCCTCGGCGGCAATGAGGGAGAGAGCCACGAGCATCATCCCCTCGCGGCAGGTGCGCAATACCACGACCACACCAATGCGGGAGCAGCTACTGACCACCAACAGCTGCTAGCGGTGCCGCGGCCACCATCTCCAGCGATGCGCTGATGAATCCCTTTGACGGTAAGACGCGCACCACGACCTCGCTCCGCGCCTACTGAATCTCGCAGTCATAAAACAACGCATGCAAATGCACGGTTCCATCTACAAGTCTGTCCCCCAATGCGCCCGAGAGGTTCTCCGCACTGAGGGCGTGGGCGCATTCTACGTCTCATACCCCACTACACTGTGTATGACGGTGCCATTTACCGCACTCCAATTCATGGCCTACGAATCGATGTCCAAGGTCATGAACCCGACCGGCCGCTACGACCCCTATACGCACTGCTTCGCCGGAGGTATCGCCGGAGGATTTGCAGCGGGGCTCACAACTCCCCTCGATGTCATCAAGACGCTATTACAAACACGCGGCAATGCTCGAGACGCAGAATTGAAGAACGTCTCCGGCCTAATCCAGGCAGCCAAAATTATCCATCAAAGGGAAGGATACAGGGGATACTTCCGTGGTCTGAAACCCCGAATCATCACCACCATGCCAAGCACGGCAATTTGCTGGTAAGTTTTGAGCTTGGACACCGCAACCGGTATTGATCTGACACTGCATAGGTCCGCATACGAGATGGCCAAGGCTTTCTTCATTCGGAGGAGCACCAACTCATCAACGGCCATATAACAGAGAGACGACTATTTGACTGATCTTCTTTTGAACCATTACGAGAGCCCTCTGATTCCGCGATATGCGCACTACCCACGGAACGATATACACGCAGTGTCGCGGAGAGTAGCGACCATGGCAGTATTGGGCATCCAAGGCAAGGTCTAGCATTGTGTGGCGCGCTGGAGGAGCATAGGGCTGCGTCGCGACGCTTCTTCACTGCCATTGTATAGTCATAGAGGCTTTTGTGGAAGCCGATCTGGCGGCGTACTGGATGCTTGGTTATGCGAGCACACGACGGCATGCGCATTCTTGTATCATATAGCAAATTCAGTGTCGGCGTCACTCAAGACCCAAGAACATTTTCGCTCTTCAGCCCAAACAAGGTGCGTAATCGATAACAGCCGGGCGCGAATAGCAGCCCCACTTGCACATGCGCCTTCCTCGTGGCTGTGTGAGCACGCGTATCCTGGGTTGACAGTATTACCTTGTGATCTGATGTAATAGCGCGAGAGAGAGCGTGCCCAGTTGCGTAGAGGATGCATGGATGCGTGAGGACAAAGTCGTCTTCCATGGTCGTCGCTGCTCAGCCCTCGCGGTTGCGAAACGCAGCTACCTACGTCACACACCCGCGCGAACTAAGACCGGCGACGAATCTACAAACACGAGCCCGAGACTGGACGCGAGACACCTATTCTGTCCTCCACGCCACCCCCCGCGTGAATTGGGCGCATCATATACATGTTTTCCGCTATGCGCGCCAACACGACGCAGAAAGCCTACGACGAGGCTTTCCTAGCCTGCTCGACTGCAGTCTACTTTGAGGGCCAGGTCAGTGCCCAACCACCCCCCAAGTGTCGCATGTGCCCAGCATCACTGACAGAGAGACATATAGAACAACGAGAAAGAAGCGCTGCGATCATGGAAAACCGCCCTTGACCACATCTACTACCACAACGCCCGTCGCAACCCCTCGACCTACCGCCCCGCGTCCGAAACAGAGAGAGCACTGATCGAATCGCTACGCCAGTTGGAGCTGCAGTGTAAAGAGCGCGTGGATCTATTAGAGGCGCTGAAAAAGAGTCGCAAGGAGTCGAAAGAGAGCCTTGCCTCGCTCTCGTCAGACAACGATGCACCCACACCACCACCCCACGGCGTGCCCCTATCGCAAAACGATCCAAGCGCATCTACATCATGGCTCGGAGCCGGATCTATACCACCCATAGAGTACACAGATCTCTCAAGACCGCCAGCATTGCCATACCGTCCGGCGATGGCGCCACGGAAGAGCTCCGGTACTGGCTCCATACGGGACAACAGCTTGACCCAGACTCGGAGCGCATCGACGCTATCCCCAGGACCAGTAGGAGATAAAAAGACACGTACCCCATCCCCGGAGAAGAGTGGCAGAATGCTACGGACACTGAGACCCGGGAGAGAGAGCAAGCCATCTTCGGCGAAGTTGCCCAATACGTTGAGAAGTCGCCCGGATGCTTCAAAGGCAGCTACCCAAGCGTGGAGTGTCAAAGCCACAGCATCCTCCACTCGGCCAACATTAGGGGCCCCGAACCCATCGACCAGTTCTCTTACACCCTCCGCCCGCTCATCCCTCGACAAGCCGGCTGCTGAGAGACCGAGTGCTTATTTTCCGAAACCCGAAGCACAACCGCCGCCTGCACAAGCACCGTTCTACTTTAGAGCTGGCGAGGGGTCAGCATCAACCGCATATGCGGTTCCACCACTTGGTGGTGAGACTGATCCGGGGCCGGTCAAACCTGCTACAAACGAGCGAACAGCGCCAGCAATACCCCGAAAGTCTGTGGGTTTGAGTCGACTGAACAACGCGCAAGGGCCCAGTACACCATTACCATCTTACCGAAAGGAGTATCCCAAGCCCACACCGGACCCTCGATCTCTTGCCGCGTCTGCTGCAGCCCATTCGTACGGCGACACTGGGGGCGAGCGAGGTGGAGTGATATGGGATCCGACGACAAGGAGACTTGTACCGAAACCCAAGAGCAACGACACACAAGCGCGAAGCAGTTCAGAGCAGGAGGACTCACCTGAGTCTGTATCACTGGAAGAGGACGGAGATTTGCTCAAGCAGAGGCCACCTCCAGTGCGGAAGGGCAGGGCTAGAGGCAATTCGATGCGTGCAGAACTACCAGATACCCCAGGTGCGGATAGTTCTGAGGCGGAACTGGAGCCAGAAGAGACGGATGAATGGAAGCGCAAAACGGATGAGATCATGAAGAATTTGCCACGGGGCGTCGATAAGCAAGCAGCACAGCAGATATTAAACGAGATCGTGATACAGGGAGATGAGGTACACTGGAGCGACGTATCAGGACTTGAAGTTGCGAAATCCGCCCTGAAAGAGACGGTAGTGTACCCGTTCTTGAGGCCTGACTTGTTTATGGGTCTGCGAGAACCTGCACGCGGCATGCTCTTGTTTGGACCCCCTGGAACTGGAAAGACGATGTTGGCCAGGGCAGTTGCTACAGAGTCAAAGTCTACTTTCTTCGCCATATCAGCTAGTAGTCTGACGTCGAAGTTTCTGGGCGAGTCAGAAAAGCTTGTTCGCGCCCTTTTCCAGCTTGCAAAGATGCTGGCGCCATCAATCATCTTCGTCGACGAGATCGACTCACTCCTCTCGTCGCGTTCGGGATCCGGCGAGCACGAAGCATCGCGACGCATCAAAACTGAGTTCCTTATTCAGTGGTCCGATCTGCAAAAGGCAGCTGCCGGGAGCGCGGTCACGGACAAGGACAAAGAGAGGGGCGATGCAACTAGGGTTCTCGTCCTCGCAGCAACAAACCTGCCGTGGGCGATCGATGAAGCAGCAAGACGAAGGTTTGTGAGAAGGCAATATATCCCACTGCCCGAAGATTGGGTCCGGAAGCAACAAGTCCAGACGCTATTGAGCCACCAGAAACATGAGTTGAGTGACCGCGATCTGGATCGTCTGGTCAAGCTCACTGAGGGTATGTGATGATCATTGAGGACCTGAATCGCAACACTAATTTCTTTCTAGGTTTCTCTGGTTCTGATATAACGGCGCTCGCGAAAGACGCTGCAATGGGCCCTTTGCGCTCACTGGGCGAGAAGTTACTTTCAATGACGATGGACCAAATACGACCGATACAATATCAGGACTTTGTAGCTAGTCTGCAGACTATCAGACCGTCTGTAAGCAAGCAAGGACTGAAGGAATTTGAGGATTGGGCTACACAGTTTGGTGAACGTGGAGGCTGAAGTACTAATTAACGGGCTGGCACTGCGCTTGCGATAACGAATCAAGTATCTACATTAGTATCTGTATGGCAATTGTCTCGGCGTCGTTGGCTTCAACTGCAGGTAGCATGCTCACCCCACCTGCCTGGGTTGAGGATGGCTCCTTCCGTCTGGATTGTGCCCGTGACTTAGCGCCACCTCAACAAGAGCCCATATCACACCTAGCAAGCTGTTCTTCTTCATTCAATTTTCCCTATCATCGCTACTAGAGCAGATAATGGCGCCCCGCAAGAAGACAGAAGAGAAGGCCACAGCCAACGAGGCCGCAGATCTAGTATTGGAGTATCTACGTGAGTCACTCACCTCACCTCACATCTGAGAGCTCAACGATCGCACTGCACCCTATACTCAAAGACTGACTGGTCGCAGGCAAGCAAAACCGCCCATACTCGGCTATCGATGTTTCGGCGAATCTACACAACAAGGTCACAAAAGGTTCATTGATCTATCACTCTTATCCGACAACGACTGATTCAGGGCAGCGTCTGCGGCAAAGATTCTGAAAGATCTCCACGAACAGAAAGCAATTGAGGGGCGTGCCGCTGGTGAGCTTGGTCGAGCCTATCTGCAATTCACATCAGTTGACAATCTCAGGCAAGCAAATCGTATACCACGCTTTACAGGTATGATCCAATCCTTTCTCTTACCGAACATCTGCTCAGATCTGACCCACTTGTAGAATGCAGCCGAAGCATGCACCACTGAACAACTCGCCGCTCTCGACGAAACCATTCTCGATCTCCGCACGCAAACCACTACTTTTATCGCAGCCGCAAAGAATCTCCGTGGCTCCTTGTCCAGTCTCAACTCCACGCTCAGCACGGCAGATCTTGTCGCCAATGTTACCACTCTTGAGACAGAGAAAGAGCAGATCGAATCTAGACTTGATGGACTGAAGAAGGGAAAGGCGAAGAAGGTAGGTTCAATGTACTCAGAGTGATTTATGCAGGTTTGTGCTAACTCTGCAAGGTCACGACATCAGAGCGAGAAGCGATCGAGAAGGAATGGAAGAAGAGCATTCGTGTGGCAAAGAAGAGGCAGAAGATTGTGACGGAGATGTGGAAAGAGATCAAGGAGAATTTTCCTGATCCGCAAGAGAGAGAGGACCAGAGGGAGATGTTCGACCTCGATGGATGAGGGTCTGCTGCGCTGTCAGAGTGGCGTGAATGACGCTTAGGTGCCATGTGCTGGCGATGTTGTACGATGTTAGATGTGAGCATACCAGGACGATGTAGTGAAGTCAGATAGTTCAGGCTCAAGACACGAACTACTTGAAGACATACAAAAGTGTATCAAACTTGCGTATATATCATTCACATCGTGCTTTGAACGTAGCTAAAACGCCTCCAACGCCACTCTGGCAAACCCGCAATGATGCGAACCAAAAACCGAACAAGAGATGAGAGTTTAGATCCCAATGGCAAACAAGCGCCTTTACAATGCAGTGCAGACACCAATACATGAAGCACGAAACATAGCCTGCCAGGCCAGCTGGCGAGCCTACAGAGCTACCAAGACTGCGCAAACAACATCCCAATGCAACGTGACCGAACGCAAACAGCATCGTGATGCAGGTAATTAAATGACTCAAGAGCGCTGATAAGAGAACGAGCTACGGAGGTCATCTCTGATCTCCTGCGACAGGTTATCGTCGGCGTCGATGTGGCTGGGATCCTGAGCACGCGCCAATTCTTCGAGGGTTTTGGCGAGGGCGGCGCCTTCGGTGCGGCCGCGGTCTACGTTGACGAGCATCATGATGGGGAAGGGGAGGCCGACCAGGATGGCTAGGAACCAGAAAGCCTGTAGTTGAAATTAGTATGAGGGATGAAATTCAGAAGTGTTGAGCCGACTTACCGGTCTAATGTCGCCATAAGCATCAGTGATGGCGCCTACGATAGCAGGACCAAAGACACTGCTGCCTTTATCCGTAATGGCGTATAAAGCGTAGAAGGCGGCTTCGTAGCCAGGAGGGATGAGTTCGCCGAATAGAGCACGGCAGTAACTGCTGAGACCGCCAAGGACGAAGCCGTAGACTGCACCTAGAGGGTACATCTCCCATTGCTGCTGTAAACCCAGGTATCCTAAGCGCTGGACTGCTGGTATGTACCCTAGAAGACCATAGGTTGGAATCACTTCAAAGAGCATGATGCAGAGTAGGATTGTTTGTGTTGGCGACAGGCGGAAGAAAGCAGACAGCCGTGACCACAGGAAGGCGCCCAGAACGCCGAAGACTGTTGCGATGACGTTTATCAGGGCGAGCATGGCGTACGACATGCCTAGCGTTGTCTTTGCGAAGAGCACTGCTGTACCAGATACAGTGGCAATGCTGTCTGAAAGTAGGAACCACGCTGCGAGGAAGAGTAGTACATCCTTGAGATGTCGCGCGTGGGTCGCTGTACGACCAAGGGATTTCCACGAGTATGCAAAGTACGCGAGGGCAGTGCCAAAGTTGGAGGTTTGCGCACCGATATGCAGAGGTGGCCCTGGACGTGGACGCAGCCAGCGCGCTGTCGGTACTGTGAAGACAAACCACCACGCGCCGATGACGAAGAGGACCAGGCGGAGGCCAAAGTTGGAGGATTGGAACGCGATGACGATGAGAATACCGATAGTTTGCACAAGCAAAGCAGCAATGTAACCGATCGCGATACCGTAGGATGAGATCTTGGTTGCAAGAGCGAGTTCCACTGAAGGAGCGGACCTGCTTCTTGCCCTCGGAATTGTCAGATCGGCGGCTGAAAGGTTACTCGGCAAAAGTGCGGTTGTCGCATCAGCGACTTCGTCAAGAAGGCCTTCTCTTTGTCCAAGCTGGTTTGCGTATTGCGCTCCCCTTATGATATTCTCCTGCGTCGGAGTTTCACCTCCTCTCTCGTCATCTTCTTCTGTCTCCGCCTCGTCTTCCTCGTCTGCGTACGATTCATCGGCGATCGAGTCGGCGTACTTGACTGTAGGGTGGAAGCGCACCATTAGCGGTAGGAAGCTGTTCAACAGTACGAAACTGGCACCAAAGCATGTGTTTGAGATGATTGCCAGTACTGCGCCTAGCAGGTACACCTTGGGTACCACGGGTAGGAAAAGCATGGTCGCGATGCTTCCAATAAATGCGAACCATAAGAGGAAGGTCTTCCTGAACCTCCCATGATCCGCTGCGCCGCTCATGCTAATGATCAGCAGAGCTTGTATGAGGACGGATATGCTGAAAGTGTACATGGCGAAGCTCGCAGTATTGATCTCGATACCGAGGATATGAACGACGCATTGTCCCTTTTCAGGATTCGGTTTGAACAGAGCTTCTACGGCGTTGGTGGAGAATGATGGGCCTGGATGGACGGTAGGCTTCGTGGCTTTGCACGGTGTGGAAGGATCGGATAATAAGACGCCATTCTCGCGCGCGAGTTGCTCGAGCGTTACAGGTATGAAAGACCCGATACCGCAAACAACGAAGACCTGGGGTGGTTAGTGTCGGTACTCGCGTGGTTTATAAACTTGACGAGGCGCGTCCGAAGTAGCATCACGAGAAAGATACGCGCACAGCTTTGCGATATTGCAGCAAGCTTGCAAAGGCTTGAAGCAAAACGGGATGGTAGTAAGAAGGAAGGGATGAAGTACCTCGGCAGCCCATCCATACATGTAAAAGCCGCGGAGCTCCTTGTCGCTGGTCAACCGGGTGTCTTCGCCCTCGTAGTGGGGCTGCGAGTCGTGGGACTCCATGTCGAGGCTCTGGTCGGAAGAGAGGCTCTGCTCATCGTCTGCCTCGTTGGACTGCGATATGGACGGCACCGAGACTTTGGACTGTGAGGATGCATTGCGCGCAATGGTCGGGCGCTCATAGGGCGGGAGCTCGGGCGCGCGAGGTGACATCGAGCGATTGGAAGCAGTTGTCCGCAAAACAGGGTCCTGCGCTAATCAACGGAAATGCGTCACCGCAACTGAGACATGATGAAGGATCGAGGGATAAATGCGACAGCTGACCGGGCTGCTATTCAGGTCGGAGGGCAACTTCTAGTGGGCACGCTGAGGTCAGGCCCAAGCTGGGGAGAGATGTGGAGTTGTTGGGGTGGCAGCGGATGATCCCATGGGCATGACCTGTGAACATCTGATAAAGCGTCTACTTGCAGTAGAGGCTTATCCGAGAAAGACATTGGACAAGGCGCTTGCGCTCAAGCTCGCATCTAGATAGACTACTGGCCGCCGCAGCCGCAAGCTCGCCGAGCCGCGGACAGCAATGCGGTGAATGACTGAACGAACTAGCGATTAAAGTGGCTAGCTACATCGCATCCGCGCGACGAGATATACAGTGTCGTTGACGCACTATAGAGCAAGCTGGGCCCCCAAGCTTGACTCGGTTGCTGATGCGACCTCAGTGTGTCTGGCAGGAGATGCAGGGCTCCATCATCAGCGCGCATGGGTGGAGCGAACGCCAAGGCGCTAAACCCAATCCACGCCCTCCCTCCCGTCGTCGGTACGAGAGGCTGCTGATGTTTCAACGACCTCATCGCTGCAACCACTCCACCCGCCCACGTCGCGCGCACCCCATCCACGGCCACTCCGGACTAATTCCCACCGCTCTACGACCGCGACTGCCATCACGACGTTTTGCAGCATTCACAGTCGACGATGCGCTAGTCGGCAGCGCCCCGACCTCGCTTTCTTTCACCTGCTGCATTCGACCAGCGCCCTTTCAACACTCACTGCGCCTCGTGCTATCTCGGCGCTTCCATTCTTACACCAAAGCATCTGCTTTAATGAGCGCGCCTCACTCCTAACCTGCGCATTTCACCGCCGACTCCACCGCCAGCCCTCTGCACGCAGCCTCGATCACGATTCAAACACCGCGCGGTTGACTTTTTCGCGAAAACATCAAGGAAAAAGCGCGACCACACACTTCAAGAAAGTTACAGACGCGCGCAAAACGGGTGCGCAGACGGCGCCCCAGGCTGCGGGACGGAGGACGACGTAGTATGCCAGGAATTCTCACCATGAACCACACCGGGTCCGACTCAGCGACGGCTTCACGAGATGCAGAAAACAGGAAGCGCAGCCACAACGGGGATCTGACCAATGGCGGACTCAATGGTGCGCGAAGTGACACGCCGGCAGGGGGACCTGCTGTTAATGGGGGTCCTTTGCGCGAAACCAGCACCAATGGCGCATCCATGGCAGTCGCAGCAACGGCCGGTCCCACGCTCGAACAATACTCGGATCTGCCCCCGGAGATCGCTCATATCGGCCCCGAGCAGTACATGTCCCTATCGACACTGTTGTTGCGGATATCCCAGGAATCTTACAATGAACTGGAGGAAGTCCTGAAGAACATGGCCGCCATTCAGATAGCGCCAGTTTCAAATGGCGCGCTTCCCAACGGCCTTGGCGCGGCGAATGCACAAGTGAATGCAGAGGCGAACAAGCGTAAAAAGCTGGTTGTGCTTCAATTCGCGCAGGAGCAACGGGCTAAATTCATCAAGCTGCTAGTCCTCACCGAATGGGGAAAGAAAGCTTCCGTTGACATATCAAAACTCATTGATTTGCTGGCCCACGCGAGTACTCAGGCAGCCCATATGGATGCTGCTGACTACAAACTGGAAAAGATTAAGATTCTGTCCAACAATGCCAGAGAAAACAATCCGGACGTTGCGACCGCCCTGGAAGTGCTATCGACAGGGAAAGCGCCATGGATGCCGAGCCTGGGCTACATACCGCCTGAGCCTATCTCTGCTGAGCAGGCCCTCAAACTCCTTCGGTACATGAACACCTCTCTCTCCATACGCCTCAACGTACACGAAAGCCTCCCACAACACCTCCAAGACTGGCGTGTGCACTCTGGACGCGCAACTTTTGTTGTTGCTAATGAGCTGGAATTTGACGTCATGTCTTTTGTGGAGGATGCTTCCGAACAGTGGTTTCTCATCGATCTCCGGTTGTTGTTCACTCCTGCACCTACCATTACCGTCGGTAGCCGTTTCTTTATGCAACTCAAGCTGCAGGCCGACGTGGTTCTAAAGGAGAAGGGTCTGACTGGCCTTTTCGACTTCCTGAACAACTTCGTTCTAACGCACAAGATCTCAGTGCTTCGATCGCAGGCTGTTAATCTCGTTCGCAGCGGCTGGGCTGGATCTCTCAAGGTTGAGCCTGTGCATCGCTTGCTCGTCGTGTCTTATTGGACTGATAAGCCTGGAAAAAAGAATTGGATTGAGATTGGCGTATCGAACAACAAACCAAAGAACGGCAAAGTTTCGTGGAGAGGGCCTCCCATACCGTCGCTGACTACGCGCTGGTTCCGCCAGGGCAAAGAAGTGAAAGATGTCAAGTTCCATTTTGACTGGAAGGATCTCTCCATGGAACGCGTTATCAAGCAAGTCATCGCACGCCACACGAGTGATATCTTGCGATCCACAAAGGAGAGTTTCAAGTCTGGAGTGACGGCGAACGCACATCTTTCCGAGACCGAACCTGCCGACTCTACACTCAACGCATCGCTGGGTACAAAATCTACATCAGTTACCCTATCACTAGAGTCGGTCACTGGTAACTACATCCTGCGACCAGCTAGCGCACTATCAGCGCGAGCGGAGAATGCTTTCAACCAAGGCAGAGAGCCATCACAGATTGCTCATGTAATGACGCAAGTGCTAGCCGGCACATTGCTCAGTCTGATCCAGAAGAACGCACAACAACTCGGCTGGCAATCGGTCGCAAGACAGGCTTTGAAACAGCAGGTCGTGTCGGCTGCTGTCAAATTGGATGTCATCTCTTCCACGCTGTATTGCCCTCGCGGCTGGACACCAAACTGGGCATTGGCAGCGGTAATCGACTCTTCAGGTGAATCGTGGTGGATCTTTGAAATCGGATCTGGTGGAAATAGCCTCGAATACGCCGAGCAGATCAAGTTGGACAGGCCTGATGGAAGCTCCTTACCCATCAATCGCAACACCTTGGCAAGTCTGGAGAGGGTCGCTGTGCAGCTTCTGTCGTTCCGCGTCACAGCTCGCCAACTAGAGAAGGAGAAGAAGAATTTCAGTTTGCGACCTGAGTTAGGGCAAGCAGGCTCGTCCGTGGAAGCTGGTTGTGTTCCCCGTCGATGGGTGCTGCATGTGCAAACTCCGGACCTTCTTGTGCCCCAAGCAGACGAAGACTCATGGCTTGAATCAGACATCAAGATTACATGTGAAGGCTTGAAAGTTGGGGGTCAGGATGTCTGGCATATGGCTGTCGGTAGAATGGTCAAGTCTGTCGCTGCAGACATGCATAAGCTCATGGCAGCTTCACCACAGACCGCCTTCAAGTTCTCAGAAGATGGCAACTTCAGGATTCTTCTTGCCACACCCTTTGGGCAAGATATCCTGGGAGAGCTGCGAGCACGATTGCGAGATGTTAACCGTCTTCGTACCTTTGCCAGTACCCTTCAGAAGCGTCAAATGCGGCTTTCGTCCTCCTCCTTACAGCGCGTACAGTTCCAGTACGGTCCATCGCCATACTCTGCAACTGTCAACTTTGGCGCTGAAAAGGAGCTTACCATCGAGCTGTCACATGACAATCCGCACCATCGGATTCTCCAACTGCTTACTGAGATCGCCAACGATCGGCTGCCTTCCTTCCCAACCACGGAGGTCAGCGATGTCGATGGCCTGGATCGCTTCTGTACGACTCTCGTCGCGACCCGGCCCCTCTTCAAGGCCCTGCGCGAAGTCGAGGAACGATCGCCAGGCAACTACAGTAACCCCGCAATTCATGTTCACTCCGTCCTTAAATACCGACTCACCTATGACAATCCGGTCTGCACTTTCGACGTGCGCCTTCAGCCCAAAGATGACCAGGTGTACTGGTTCATCGAAGATAACTTGCGTCCAAAGGATCCTCCAAATCAAGCCACAAATCTACCAACTCCCGAGCGTGCACCTGGTCATAGGCGTCTCGACAACTTACAGGCCAAGCTGAAGGAACTCTTCAGTGGGAAGGGTTCAGGATGGTTTGGTACCCGAACCGGCATGGTGGCGCACTTGGACGCGATCCCTGAAGCACTACTCAAGCTGGATGAGTGTGTCTTGAGTTGTAAAATGGCAGGAGGTTATGTCGCACCTCCACCACTTGAAAAGCCCCCGCAACAAGCGCAGAATCAGGGATCTGGTCCAGGTCAGGCGCCTGCACAGGCGAACGGGAACCAGCAGGGAAACCAGCAGCAGCAGGCTAGGATGCAACAACAGCAGCAGCAAGCGCGCCAGCAGCAGCAAAGACAGGCTCAGGCCCAGGCTGGGAAGCAGCACCCGAACATGCAGCAACATCCGAGAAGCCAACCTCCGAACGGCAGACCCTCACAGCAGCAGATGCCAAACGGCCGCCAGCAACAACAGCAAGGTAGAGGCGGTCCAGGAGGTCGTCCAGGGCAGTCCAAAAACGACGTCATCACCATTGATTAGAAGACCTTGGGATGACACCAGCATACCAGCTGTAATTGCGTTCATTCCATTCACGATTTGTGTACAATGTTTCTCTTTCACGTTCTTGACGTTTTTCTAGCATCGGGTTAGCGGGACTACGGTATAATTTGCGCTTTCAACAGGTTCTGCTGTCTTGCGGTTCACGGTGGGGTTTCCACCGGATTATGTATTTTACCTGACATGGACGCGGTGTCAGCCTTCTCGGCGGATGATTTGGGCCCGCGCTTTTCTTCTTTTGCTTCGTAGCTTGTATGATCCTTCTTTTTATACCATGGTGGGAACTTGCGACGAGGGTAGACATGAACAGTATCATGCCATGGCTAGATGTGAGGCTGGCGGTCTATCGATATAGATATCAAATGCATAGATGCTACCAAAGGTCTATTATACTCAAGCTGGACGACTCTTATGCACCGCAAAGTACGCTAAATGATCACACCCAATTCTCCTTTTCGTCAGCCTCAACCAAGTATGTGGCCTTGTCTCATGGGAACACTCCGTGGACGAGACGGTCCTCGCCTTCGTCGCCTCCACAGCCAAACCGCAATTCCTATAATTGCCAAAAGCCCTGCTGCACCACCGACCGCGATGCCTATTATTGCTCCCTTATTCAGCGCGGAAGACTTTGAACCATCGGTGGTAGTAACATCCGTAGTTACTGTGCATTCTGATGTGCAAGACGGCGTTGCGACCGGTGTGGTCGTAGCATCAGAGGAGGTGGAGACGGTAGGAGTGGGTGTAGCCGCAGCAGCGCCAAAAGTGCTAAGTGTCCATTCCCCATTGCCCGAATCTCCTTGCGCGAGAAATGGCTTCAGGCTCCCATCTTCGACATCGAGATAACTCTCCGAGCCGGCGCGGCTATTGCTGACTTTGACACTTCCGTCGCCTTGTACTTCCAGTCGCCAGTACTGTGCGTCTATGTTCTCGTTGGCGCGGAAGCGCAAATCTGTTGTCTGGCTTCCTTCGTAATTATACGTGCTGAGAGAGTTGCCGTTGCCTTTGTCTTCGGTGTGCAGGCGGTAGTAGTCGTCAAGTTCGGTCTCTTCGAAGTACCATAGCTGACTCTGAGTCGTGTCACTTGAGACAGACTCTAGAACGAGGGTGTCATTGTTTGGAGTAGATGCGAGCGCATTTTCTGATCCGAACTGATCAGTTTTGATGACGTATCTTGCTGACAGATTGATGAGGTCTGTCATTGTGAGATGAGGAGAAGTGAGGGATGAGCACGAAGAGAGAACCTTGTCGCCTTCTTGATATGGTTTTGAGGCTGCGGCTCTACTTGCTTGAAAACCTGGCTAGGCTCCTTCAATCTACAATCAGCCACCACACTGCGACCGGGCTATGCTTGGTAGTGGGCGTGCTTCGCAAAGAGGGCTGGCGCTTCCAAGGTTGCCAAGAACGCCATGCGTCTGCCTTGTTCCCTTCTCGCTCTTCAGCTCCGCGCATCAGTATCAGGCTGGGCATCTGCATAGCAGATGCAGCCTTCTGTATGGCTCCTGCAGCGCTACTGTACCAAGGAGTGGGCTGAGTAGGCTGCGGCCAAAGAGTGCATAGCCTGAATCACTTGTGGTGGCTGCGAAAATCATCACACACTTTGTTAAAGTTCAAATACACCTTTCCAAAGAGACAACGTTCATTCGCTAGTATAGTACTGGTATGCTTGTTAGTTCTAATTCTTTCCACCACAAAGTCGCCCATAGTTTATCCCACTCTAGGTTCAGTACCAACTCCACTTCAGCCCTGAAGTATGTGGGCTTTCCAAGCCTCTGGCGCACACGTTCAAATTCGATTTTGCTCAGGTCAATGCCAAGTTCTCCCGCGTTTTGCAGTTCTGTCTTACATTAGCTCCGAGATCTTTCAGCTACATTCACTACTCACCGTCAGTGGCGTCTTCGAGACGTGTGGGGCGGTGTTTCTCGTCGCTTATGTATCGCCAAATCTTCAAAGTCATCATGTCCTTTGGCTGTTTCGAGAGATGGATGTGAACCGTTTTGGACCGCTTCGTTGGGGCGTTTGACATAACCAGGTCGCCTTTGTTCAGCAGCCACGTGAGTTGTCCTTTAGCGAAAATGCCTCCGCCATGTTCGATGACCTCTTCTTGATTGCCATGATAAGTTGAAGTGTAGCTTTCATCCAAACATATTGCGTAGCTGTTTCGGCAAGAGTTCGTCCGCTTTAGGCTGCTGGTCAAGTTCTTCTCGATACCACAAACCACTGCACCACGAACGACTGCTGTCCAAGACTTTTGGGGTCTCCAGTACTGCATGATCAGTCTTTCGTGTAGTATCATCTCTTTGATCTGAGCTTGAAGATACTCCGATTCGCCGTATCCTCCTACCAGAAACAGATTCTGGTGACGTCAGGGCTTGTATTGTGATGGAAAGCATGATTTCTCACCTTTGGACGGTTATGGCGCTTCTCTCGAATCCTCTTGATATGGTTCTTGATCAGTATGACAATTCGCTCGATCGATGCGTCAAAGAATGACTCCATCTCATGCCTAAAGTTGTCAATATTGCTCGAAAAAGGGAATCTGCATATACCCTCACCTCTTGATCGTGAGCAGACCCTGATTGACACGACCTTGGATGACAAGATTTTCCAACGGAGATGGAAGCTCTAGCTGGCAGTCAGACGACCCGGCTGTGAAATGTTTTTTCTTCAAATCGAAGTCTTTCATGAGTGATCGCATAGCTGGGGTTTCTGAGGCATGGGTCGCAGTCTTGTCGATATCAAAATTAGGGTCAAGTTCTTTGTAGTGAACATCCGTGAGTATTTCTCGAAGCCATTTTTTGAACTTCATGTTGATGAAGATCGACCCGCATTTGTCACCTATGCCTGGTTAATGACACTCGCTAGGCGTGAACTCGGCTTACCAGTCGGACTCCCAATGGGCTCCAACTCAAGCGCTGGTTCCAAACGCTTGACCTGGTATGAAACCACGTCCTAAATACAGCGATAAGCCCACCCGCTTTAGAAATAACAACTCCAATTCGATACTTACCACTGTGCCGCCCCCAGCATCACAGAGTATGAAGTACTGGCCCTCCTTCAATTCTTTAGCTTTCTAGAAACAGTGGTCTTTTCACAAGTATCCAACATACCTGCAAAGTTGTTTGGGACAACTCGTCTCGGTAATGGCGCGCAGTATAGACTGCAGCAGCCTCAGGTTCTGTGATGAACATGATGTCATGTAATCTTGGGAAGTTCATCCGGTTGAACCCCGCTTTCATCAATGCTCGATATGTTGAGTTCATCGCCATATAGGACCAGTCCTCGCGAAAGTCAGCTCTACCGTATGACGTAATTCGCGTTGCTTACCGTAGGTACAGTAACTACAAGATCAGTCTTTGTATGCTTTCTTGCGATTGGGCCAAACTGGTCGACTTCCATCTCTAGGTGTTGGAATACCTTTTGTAAATAGTCGGTGACTATCTCTTCCGGGCTTTTGTGTGAGTAGGCAGGTACATCGTCGTGACTACGTATCGTGCGCAACATGTCGTCGATATTGAGGTTAGACATTCCATCCAGGATCTGAAGCGTCATGTCCAGCTCACCCATGCGACTCTGTAAACCGAGCTCAAGTTTAGTATGAACCATTGAGACGGAATCGTCACTCAAAGCACCACCCCACTCATAGTTGGGGCGCGAGTATGAAATGACGCTTGGCACCTTTTCGTCCACGGTCGCACCTTATACCAATCAGTAAAGGTAACTTGCGGGAACAGACATGACATACCCCATTCCACCATCACGTCAATGTCCTCGAGCAAGCAGTTGTTCCCAGATGGCGTAGCATAAGCTACACCTAGTCTTGGAGTCAGTCTGGTAGCAAGAAACGCCGATCTAAGTAGCGCACCAGTGTATGTAGTGCCATAGTCCAGACCAATTACTAGTCGCGTTTCTTGCACATCTCCATTTGTTCTCCCTTCCGAATTGTCTGTTCTGGAAATGTATTCGTGGTCTGTGCGAGAAGACACGAAGGACGTATGCTCAGAGTGGTACCCAGGTTCGCTGTCGTCCATGTCGAAATGCCTGTCTCGGGGTTCTTTTCGAGAACAACCAATCTGGCCTCACGATATTTTGGGTATGGCGACCACTATACATCTTAGTCACTCATTCTTGCGGGCTGCGGCACCCGAGAATTGGGGCACAAGTGAAGCGTGCGCGTAAGCTACGCAGGCATGCTAGGCTAAGCAAGTCGATTCGGAGGACGCTCCGCATTCACACAATTCCGCATCGCAGCCTGGAGACTAAATTCCATGCACGCGCCGGAAATGGGCAAAGTAAGCGTAAGAAGAGTCGGAAGTTCAACAATTGGTTAACGTTCACCAATGAGCTCTCCGCTCGTGTTTGAGATATGTACGGAGGCGCAAGGCTGCGAGATAGCCTTACTGTACGTATTGATGTGGCGCGAAAAGCAATATTGGGTCACTCTGCGGATTTTCAGCTCCATGCAAGCCAAGACGAGTATGCGCTGCGCTGCTTACCACGAGCCGCCGTTGCAGTTGAGTGCGGCAGCCTTGACACACAGCATGCGGTGTTATGATGTACCCGCTTAGTGGCTTGGTCAAGATTATTCGTCCTGAATTTCCACAAGTATGTTTCTTGCCCCTCAGAAGATAGCTGAATCGAATGGGCGTATGTAACAGCCCAAGGCTGACTGAAGTCTTTCCAGCCAGCAAAGACGTCTCCATGTACCTGGAACGGAAAGACCATGGGTGTGTTCGAAAATTCCAAAAGTAGGGAGGTCCGAAAACCTGAGACACCTACACCTTCCTCGTCGGAGCTTTTGTCTAGTCAACAGCAGCGACCCGCTACCACGATGGCTGGATCTATAAAACCGAAAGTGGGTATGCTGGAGGCCCTCGCATACGGCTTTAAAGCTGGGATACCCGCAGCAAAGCAAGCGGCAAAAATTGCATACGGACAAGGACGCGAGAAACCGAGCGACTTCAAGAATGATTCAAAAGCTCAACCTCCACATGGCACCTCCATTCTGCCTCATCCAACATTCTCGGAAGGCGCACCCCCACATCAAGATGAGCATACTTTCTCACATGCTCCTCATTCATCGCCCGGCTTCCCTTCGGCACTTCACGCCAGCAATGGAGATCGTACTTTTGCTCCGCCAGTACCTATACATACGCCCGCGACAGGCCCGTCACCTCTCTACCCAAACATTGACTTGAGCGAGCACTCCTTCGAGGACCCCTATGACCATTCAACAAGAAAGGCTTTCCGGCAGGACGCGATGTCATTTGACGCACAAAGAGAATACGTAAGTCAGTAGTACCGACAGTAACATCCCAAAACTGAGACTGACATAGAGACAGCAGCCCCCAGCCGGCGTACACGATGCAACGCAAATTCAGGAACTTCTACTAAAAGCTGGGCATGAGTTTCCAAAGCTTCAGTTACGAGCCGATAGGCCAGTTGAAGAAGCGATTTCAAGAATTTTACATGGGTACCGTGAGGTTTCCCGTGCGCTTGACGCAGCTCATCAGTTTGTGGATCAACACCGAACAGAGGCTGAATCAATAGAGGGCTTGAAGACCGAAGCACACAGGTTGAGGAACGATCTTCGAGCTAGTAATACCGACGCGGACAGAAGAAGGAATGAGGCCAGAAATAATCACCAACAGATGTTGAAAGCACAGGCCATGCTAGGCGAGAGGAACGTAAAGTTCGAACAAGAAAAGCGTGACTGGGAATCAGAGAGAAACAAGTTGAAGTACCAACACGACAACCAGATGCGTAATGAGACACAGAGAATGGACAACGAAGTGGCAAGAAACAAGGCATGGTACGAAGAACAGTCACGTACAGCTCAATATGAGGAGAAAAAGCGACATGAGCAGCAGATCAGCAGCCTTAAGCAGCAACTAACTGAGGAACACTGGAAATGGGATGCCCATTTACGAGAAGTGAAAGACACCCACGAAGCTCGCATAAGAGATATAGAAGCAAGATTCACCGAGCAAATGAAGAACGATTACGAAAGACATTGCGAACAAACGCGACAAGAGATGGAGAGCCATAGGGTGACGGTGAATGAGTATCAGTCGAATATTGCTCAACTGAAGCTTGACGCAGAGCATGAAGAACGACGATTGCGCGAACAACTACAAAAGGAGAAAGAGAGACTTCAAGAAGAACAAAAGCGACGTGAGAAGGATCTCAAACGACAGGAAGACAAACTGACCCATAAGCATACGCACGAAACATTGCAGCTTCGTACCGTGAACGAAGAGCTGAAACAGGGCTTATTTCAGCGGCAGCATTTCAGAGGCCTGAAAGACCGTGATGTAGCCAATTTATTCCGCAGTATCGCAGGTCAAGTACAAGACTTTGCGAACGTAGATTGGGACAGTAGTCGTACCTCAGACTGGCCTTTCAGCGAACACCAGCTGCTCGAAATCCATCGTCAAAACACGCGAAAACTCAAGAAGCAGATTGTCCAAAACACCGTCTGGGTCCTACTGTATAATTGGATTTTCGCCAGTCCTTTCAAAATCCTAGGGTCGGAAGGAGAAGTCCTGGACCGTGAGTGGGTAGGAATCCATACACCTAGTAAGTCCTGGATAGTCGCTATCCCACACCTTTGAACTAACAGGCTGCAAGACACTTCCAGTCTCAAGTGGCCCGAGATACCAGAAGAAACCGAGAAAAGACGGCACGAGACGGCCAAACTGTCCTTAGCGTTTATGGAACCATCTGCCCGACCCTCAGGAGATGATCTGCGGCTCAAAAACGGCTACGAAAGATCCATTTCGGAGTTACTCGACACTTTACACCGTGCTCTAGGGAAGGTAGCTACACTCGAAGATAGGCAGGCCAAGATGCTGGAAAGTCTCGTGGGACTATGTGCAAAAACCTGGATAGAATTCTGTTCGCAGCCTTACAGGTTGATTGCGAGCTTGCCCGATGGAAGTGGAGATTTACTTTCACAGCCTAAGCTGAGAGAGCGCGCTCTCACCTTAGTTCTTAGCCCGGAGTTGAAGCGGTATGGGAATTCGAAAGGCGAGCACCTCACTAACGGAGAGATGATTCCGGGCTGTCAGGCCGCGAAAGTATCTTATTCTGTTCGGTAGTCGATAAATTGTCCAACGATTTTGTATCCAGCTCGAAAAACGAATGAATGGTTGGCATTTCGAAAGTCGTTGTAGTTGCTTCTGGGCTCGTGATTTTCAATGCAGCCTCGCGGCGCAAGCGATGATTTACAAAGCTTTGAGTCCAAGGCCTGTCTGTCGATATAATGCCCTCGGCGTGATTGGACGCCAGTTCGATAGCAAAACTGTATCGCTAGAGGCTGAGGAAGGCAGACTTCCCACGGCGCTTAACCGGACACATTGTCGGAACGGCTGAGTGAACAGCCACCGCAGAAGCATTGGCCATCTGCACCTGCAGCATCTTACAAGGATCGAGGCGAAGGTGGTGTAGCGGCCTCCAGGGCTGGACTCAGTAGGTTGTAAGCGTTAATTCCTGAGCAGCAACAGCCTTCTTGCTAAGCCTCTTGGCGTGCGCATACAGCTGCTAAAGAACACGAACAGTATGTGTGCGTTGAGAAGCCGTATCCCGATCGGGCAGCCTTGTGGCTTTGGTAGCCTCACTCTTTCTTTCGCCCCCGAAGGACCAGCTCACTTCCCCATCTTTTGCCTCTTTCCGTGTCTTACTTGTTAGTGACAGAAGTTTAGCTTTTACCGCTGCAGACCGAATCGAAATCCTTTGCCTCCTGTAGCCATGGGCCTCTTGAAGAAGACTAAGAGCCTTTGGCAAATGAAAAAAACGTCTACGTTGCAGGTCGGGGCGCCACTGGCACCACTCAACGAAGAAGTAGACACTCCTCCACTACCTTCTACTGAACAGCGTCCTAGTCGTCAAATACCTCAGCGAACACCAGACCCAGCTCGACTCGTGACGGCCGAAAACATACGGGAGCTTAGGGAGAGGATTCGGTATCGATACAGTTTGGATGTCGAGATCTTGAAGCAAAGGAACGTCAAGCCATACATGCGCGGAAATCTAGAAGAGAACATGAGGAAATCGGTAGCTGTGCTTGCAGACATACGGGAGATGGTACAAGGCTGGGACCGTCGAGAGTTCTTCGCCACCGACTTGGAATATGAGAAGTTCCAAGTGATCAAGCGCCGGCTTTTGGAGGGCAACAAGATAAATTGGGAAAAGATCAAGCCGTGGGAGTTGGACCTGAGGAACATGGTCCCTCTTCGAGCTCCATACGAGATGAGCGATCGGACAGAGTCGACAGCGCAGCGGCCCGCGCCTTCGTCATTTGGCAGTCGTCGGCCCCCTCGGGAACGTCCAGATGATGTGCCGTTTGCACGGCAAAACCAGAGGCCCGAGCGAGTGTCTGATCGAAATCCTTCGCAGCGGAGCCGGCTCGCTATGGACCCTGCGCGGCAGACCCAGCTTGGTACAACTGCTCCACAACAGATACAGCATGGTCTGGGACCGCTGCAACAAGAGCAGCGTAATGCGCACAGCTCGAGACAAGCTCCGTATACCACGAATCCTGGCCCTCCAATGCGTTACCCGGAAGATCCTGTGAGGCGGAGCCAACGTGCCGAAGGCCCGCCGCAGCAAGATATGTATGCTCTTGTGTCCCCGCCACAAAGCGACCTCTCTCTGCTCTCACAGAGAAGTGAGCTCGGTATAAGATCGCCACCGCCGAGCGAGCTGGCTCCAGGTTCTCCCCCGGCGACCAGGTATGCGCCATACGCTCCGCCAGATGCTTACAGGACGCAGTCCTATACGCAAAACCCCCAATCCGCGGCACAATATGGCAATGTTCCCTACTCGCAGCCTGGCGGCGTTGTGGCAGCCCCACCTAGGCAAATTGAAGGGTTACGACTGTCTCGACAAAGAGACAGTCGATCTGTCTCCCTTCCAATGCCACATATCAGGTTGACCGCGCCTACACCGCCGGTGGGCCGAAGAGTCTTGTCGGACCCGTCCCATATTGAAGATTCTGGTGATAGATCGATACGCATAGATAGTCCTGTCCCGAGGGGTCGAGTCGAAGGTCCTCCGTCATCTCAACACAGTGCCCCCGGATATTGAGGCGCCAGAGAACGTAGCCATGCGCATTCTTGTTCGATTCATCTTCTTTCGTAGAGGGTGTTTATAGGGAGCGTCTGTACGACCCCATTCCGAAGGGCGCCTCTGTTCGTCATTGCTCGTGCAAAGCGCGTCGCGGGTGTTATGCGGGCTGGGGACGATTCGACGGTTCGGCGCGTCGTGTCTTGCGGATAGGGCGTGGTGATCGTGTAGATGGTATATAGAAGCTGTGAGGGCTACACAGCATTGCAGGCAGTGTATATGGCCCGAACTTGCTGGCTGACGGTATGTGAGCAAGTCTGCATGCTCATTGCGCCGGCTGCGAGATTGTGTCTGTGCGCAGGCAACGTCATTCATTTTCTAATCGCATCTGCACAACCTCTTGGCTTTCCACCTCGCATTGCAACATCTATCTCTTCGAATCTTTGCTCCTCGTAAATGCCCATCAGAGCTTCATTCGATTGACCTTACAGCAAGCCGCAAGTCAGATCCACATCGAGCCTGACAAGCATGCAATGCAAATGGATCATGTATCCATGGATGTTTTGAACGAGCGTAGTGTCTTGCTTCGCCTACAGGTGCTATTTTCTCCTCGTAATTCATACACTGCCCTGAAAATAAGAGTTCCTGTTTACCAAGAAGCTATGCTGTTCAATCCCCTACTGTTCACCGCTGTGTGGAGAGCATTGGCCACGATCCAACAAATGGTAGCCATCCACTCTCGATAGTGGAAAGAGGAAGCTATACATGAAGAGTCTTAACACGTGGATTATTGCACAGTTGGTAATTCTTTCTTTTCAAAGCCGTTCTTGGGCGTTCATAAGAATGTTACTGCCAAATGCTCGCACGCGCCTATTCGACTTTGCAAGACTACGCAGGTGTCTGTACAGTCACTTTCATCAAGGACCAGATCGCGCGCTAGTGCGAAGGTACGGCTCCTCACAGAAAACACACATCTGTCAACATCGCATGTCATTACCGCTATCCAGCGTACATCCGTTCGTCAGTATCGTCAACATCGTTAATTAGTACGCCTTCATCGACGCATGTGGCCAATATACTTACAGGACTAGCACCCAAATAACAAAGCTGTACATACGGCTACGATGGCTCGTAATGGCACACCTTCGATCAAAGTTGTCCTCAAAGGCCTGTTCAGCAAAAGCAAAGCCACGAGTTCTCCACTGCGTCCAGGTGAGCAAGCCCTCCGGATCAAATACTTGTGCTACGAACACGATCGATGGATCGTTGAGAGGGGTCCCTAAACCGAGTGCGCGCTCTATCTAGGAATCGCCGATCTATAATCTTCAGATTAGGAGTCTTTGTAGTGAAGGTTGCTGACTGTCGCTGATAAGATTCAGGTAACCCTACCAACGCTGGCCCTAATAACGACGCCAGGGGTACATTCGCTCAGCCTGCAACCACGCAACCATCAAGGCTTTCGCAGCCAGTTCAGCCTGACACAAGTTCCGCGCAGAGTACCTCTTCTTCTCTCATGCCGACACCGGGCTCTCAGCTTGGTCCCAGCGCAGTCATGCCGTTGTACGAGCAGATCAAAGAACGTGGCCACTACCTCTGGGGCGATGCCTATTACTCTGTTCTTACGAATATCGTTCCTGGACGAAAAGACCGACGGCTCCACAAATTCCAGTACCACACACGTACCGGGATAGACTGCGTGCGTCGCGATCATACTTTCGCGGAAGCTCGTCTTGTACGCTATGAAGTCCAACTAGACGGCCGTCGGGACAAGGGGGACGTCTTGAGAGCATGTCTGGGACAGAACGTCGAGGATGCAGTTGAGAAACTGGCGACTCTTCTAGGAGTGTTGGTATCGTGTTCAACCAGTAAGATGCCGGATAAGTAGTAACGAAGGTTCTCAGCGAAACTAACGGTAAGGCAGGGAAAAGAGCTGCAGTAGGCTACGGATGGTCATTTGAAGGAAAACAGATCGGGACATTCGCTGAGTTCAGGGAACTTGAGGAAGAAGAGTTCGCTTTGAAGACGTGAATTTGAAGGGCTTGATGAACGAGCCTGGGTTCACGAGCAGGAATGTAGGAACGGCGTCGCCCTCTATCGCACAAGCCAATTGCATCAAGTATAAAATCGTCGTCAGCTCGTTTGCCTTGCAATCACGTCGATGTACAAATGCGTGCCATCGACTACTCATGTCACCACAAACGACTCTTCAAGGGACGCAGGGGAAAGATCCAACAATGAGCAAAGAGGTTTTACGACTTCTCGCTGATTGGCGGCACCTTGTTGCGGCGTTACATCAGGGTCGTACCAGCGATGGGTCTTCGACACCTCTGCAAACGCTATTTGTCCTGGCAAGCCGCTTTTGGAAGCGCTTCAACACCGTTCCCCATAGAGGCCGTCAGTCTACCGTATGAACACCCGAGTCAGTGGTAAGCGTCTACCCCGCGTGCCCAAGGTCGAGCTCGTGAACTCACCGTGGTCAGGTGTCTTGCCGTTGGACCTCATACCGCTCTCTTACCCTGAGATGCCGCGGAGAGTAGCGCCTTTACCTGTTTGACAGCGTGTATTGGGCATGAGCTGCTGCCACCAGTCGGCCATATAAACCTTCAATTCGCTTCTTCCTCTCACTCTTGACCATCTCACTATCACCAACTCCCTATCAACACCCCACGCAGCATTTGACCTTCGGCCTTCCACCTTCGACTTGGACGAACCGTCGACGCTCCTTTACGACAGTCTTCGGCCTCAACCTATCGAAATCTTTTCAACAATAGCTCTATCATCCCGGTGCCAACATCGGAGTGATCATCATGCCCGTCCCCATGCATTCGCACAATGATATAGAAGATGGCGAGCTAGTACGTCAGACATCAGCGATGAACATCACCGAAGAGTCATGGTTGGAGAGCACCGAAAAGGTATTTAAGTTGTTCGACACAGCATTCAAATTGGCTAACAACGTCAGCTCGACAAGGTCCAAAACCTCAAGGAAGTTTGCCTCGGCAATTGTCGCCTTCTTTACGGTAGCGAGAGAGGCAGGTTCTATGGCAAGAATAGAGTCCAGTCTCATTTCTCGACGCTGAGGCTAACGCAACACTAGACATCGTGATCTGCGAGGACGAGGACACTAAAAAGTTCGCGGCTATCTTGACCTGCAACCACGATTGCCAAACGAAGCTTTTGCGCACCGAACTGAGCTCGTGTCCTGTCGTGGCTGTCCGTACTCTCGTAGACGGTCTTCAGAAGGACACGGCCAAGCTCTTCTGTACGTCCCCTTCTACCTCAACATCCTCATCCTCATCCTCATCGCTGTCGACAACCTCAACACCCCTGATGCGTTACTAACTTGGGCGTGTAGTGAAGTACGCTGTAGGTTCTCAGATACGAGGCCAACAGGGATATACCGATGTGGAAACCGGAAAGTTTGTGTTGTGGGACATGGCACATGACAACCGCATCCGCGGTCCTAACGATGATACCCAGGGACTTCTGCGAAGCTGGAGCGACGCACCGGGCGCAGAAGGTCGACCTCCATCCGGTCCTCGCGGCGATGGCTACTACAGCCGGAATAACAAGCGTATGCGACCGGTCGAGCGTCCAGTCGAGCGACCGGAGAAGCTCATGCCTGAGACGGAAATTGTCGACCTTGATTACTATGACTAGGACAATATGGAACCTTGGAGGGGATGGCTGGTTATCGGAAGTTCGAGAGGAGAAGAGTGTGAGTTGGATCCAGTTCGACCTCGTCGTCAGGGTCATGGCGTGATAGGGTTCAGAGGCCGATCCATCTTCACCTGAGATGAGCTTGAGTCCCGGTGCGGTCCTATTCCTAGCGTAGATGGTCGGCGGTCTTTGATGTGCTTGGAGCGCATGGTCATTTCGACGATCTCAAAATTTTGTCTACGCTGGATGGTGTGCTTGTCAGAGCCTTGTGGTACGATGTGAGTGTGGCGGAACAAATGAGATCAATCTGAGGATGTTTGAGGAAGCCTTCCAAGTTGTCTATCGACGCGTGTGCACGTGAGATGGAGTTTGGCTGGGTCCAAGCGCCCGCGTCATGACGTACCACACTCCCCTATGCCACCTGCTTTGCTAATGGCTATGTCGCTCAAACCAGCCTCCACGTCATGAACAGCCCTTCCAAACGACGGAAGAAGAACGATGGCTCCGGAAAGCCGGTACGAAGTTTAGACTACTTTTTCGCGAAGCAGACGGCTAAAGCAACAGCCAAAGATGCGCCGACGAACGTAGGCCCGAGCGAGCCGCCTGTGGAGGAAGACAACACAGGGCTAACAGACGAGGAGCTCGCGCGCAAACTTCAGGAGCAATGGGACAAGGAAGATCAACAGCAGGCGCAAAATCAGGAACCGGTGAGCTCAAATGAGCTGTACGAAGAGCCCCAGAAGGCCAACACGAAGGATACAGCGCAAGATGCAGATGGGCAGGTCGGGGTGTCAACATTGCCAACGCGCGAACCGGCTCTAGCAAACACGCCATCGGAAGAACCTACCCAGAAGAAGAATACGCTGTCTCTTCAGTCGACCGCATCCGAAGAAGACGTGATCACAGCGAACATACCATTCGACCAGAGCCCTCTCGAATTCGAGCCTTCGGAATACATACCAGAGTTACAAAAGCATTGGGTGGTCGACGGAGGGCACGCGACATACGCGCTGTTGACAAGATGTTTCATCTTGGTCAACAGTACGACGAGTCGCATCAAGATTGTTGACACTCTGGTCAACCTTATTCGGACGATCATCGAAAGCGATCCTAGCAGCTTACTTCCAGCTGTCTGGCTCGCGACGAACGCAATATCGCCTCCGTACATCGATCTGGAACTTGGGTTGGGAGGTTCCGCGATCTCGAAAGCGCTTAAGAAAGTTTGCGGACTGGACAATGCAGGCTTGAAAGTGTTGAACGCCAAATATGGCGACGCTGGAGATGTAGCATTCGAGGCAAAGAAGAAGCAGAGCTTTACCCTGCGTAAACCGAAGCCTCTGACGATCAGGAGCGTCTTCGACTCGCTAGTCAAGATTGCGAACAGCAAAGGCCATGGCAGCGTAGAGAATAAGCAGAGGATTGTTGAGAGACTGGTACAAGATGCGCGAGGTGCTGAGGAGAGTCGATACATCGTACGCACGCTTGTGCAACACCTGCGGATTGGAGCTGTCAAAACCACAATGCTCATCGCGCTGTCACGGGCCTTTATGCTGTCGAAACCGTCAGGTGCCGAATTCGAGATCCGTGATAGGAAGGACCTGGCAAAACTGAAGAAGGAGGAGCTCGCGGAGATCTACAGCAGGAATGAGGAGATCGTGAAGGCATGTTTCGCTCGACGACCGAACTATAATGACCTTATACCCGTACTTCTCGAGATCGGTGTCTGCGACGAACTACTAGTACGCTGTGGGCTGTCGCTACATATCCCACTCAGGCCCATGTTGGGAAGCATTACGCGCGACATGGGCGAGATGCTCACCAAACTACAAGGACGAGACTTCGCCTGCGAGTACAAGTACGATGGCCAAAGAGCACAGGTGCATTGCGACGACAAGGGCAAAGTCACGATCTTCTCGCGCCATCTGGAAGTGATGACCGACAAGTATCCTGATTTAGTAGCACTGGTGCCCAAGATACGTGGCGAGGGAGTCTCAAGTTTCATCCTCGAAGGCGAGGTGGTTGCTGTTGACCGCGAGAGTGGAGATCTCAAGACGTTCCAGACACTTGCGAATCGTGCGAGAAAAGATGTGGTTATCGGCGCGGTGACAATCGACGTTTGTCTCTTTGCATTCGACCTAATGTACTTGAACGGCGAGGAGCTGCTCAACAGGCCTTTCAGAGAGCGGCGATCGCTACTGAAAAGTCTGTTTGTTGAGATACCGCACCATTTCACTTGGGTCAAGAGTCTAGACGCTACATCTGCCGATGTAGAAGCAGTCCAATCCTTCTTCCAAAGCGCCCTGGACATCAAATGCGAAGGCATAATGGTCAAGATCTTAGACAATCTACCCAACCCCGACCTCCTCGCGGAAACCGACGAAGCCATCGAAAAGACGCCTTCCCTCCCACCAACACCGAAGAAGAAAAAGCCCACGAAGTCGAAAACAAAGGCAAAGTCTAGTGAGACCGAGAAAGACGAACCAAAGACATCCGGCCGCCGCAAAGCCCTCCTCTCAACCTACGAACCAGACAAACGCCTAGACAGCTGGCTCAAAGTAAAGAAAGATTACAGCACCACCTCCGAAACCCTCGACCTGATCCCCATTGCCGCCTTCCATGGCTCTGGTCGCAAGGCAGCATGGTGGTCACCTATTCTTCTCGCCATCCGCAACGCAGAAACTGGCCAACTGGAAGCAGTCACAAAATGCATGTCCGGCTTCACAGACGCGTTCTACAAAGCGAACCGAGCAAAGTACGATCCAGACGACCCTGATTCTACAACCGTGCTAGCTGGGAAACCGCATTACGTTGAGTACAATGGTGGGGCGGGAACGCCAGCTGTTTGGTTTGAGCCGCAAGAGGTGTGGGAGGTAGCTTTTGCGGATCTGACGTTGAGCCCGACGTATACGGCTGCGATTGGGCTGGTCAATGAGGATAGGGGGTTGAGCACTAGGTTTCCCAGGTTCCTGAAAGTCAGGGAAGATAAGAGCATCGAAGAGGCTACTGAGGCGGAGGAGCTGGCCAGCCTATATCGGAAGCAAGAGGCAAAGGCACCCAAGAAAGATGAAGCTGTCAAAGAGGTTGAAGATGAAGACATGGAGTAGGGGATAGCACGGCACAGTAATGGTTAGATACCCCGGAGACAGCGTCACTTGACATAGTTGTAACAAAGAACTCTCTGATTGAATGTATCCTCCGAAGTTATCATCTTGATCTCTCCCTCAATATCGTGCAGCACTGATACTCCAGCCTGCGAAACCTCAAACGTCATATCCGATTCCTTCAAAGAGATGGAGATAGGAAATTCGTTATCCTCCTCGAACGTGGGGTATCTGCTCGTGCGCACCGCATCTCAGCACTGTCGCGTGTGAGCGACACACGTGCGACATGCCGGCTTGCTCTTCCTCCGCCGTATTGTTGGCACGACCTTGGAGCGGTCGTTCGGCTTCGGCGGGAGGAGCGGCGGTGCGCATCGCATCCACGTCCTTGTGGGTTTAGAAACCGTGGACCTTGATGGTCTTGCCATCAAGGCCCAGGCCCTCCTTCTTGTCGGTCAAGAAGTCTTGAACATCCTTGCGCTGGTCTCCCTGCAACTGGATCACCTCTCCCATCTCGGTGTCTGCGACGACGGTGCCATTGCAGGCAAACTTCTTCTTGATGACTTTGAGAATCTTCTTCTGGTCGAACTTCTTGGGCAGTCCTTGGACGGTGGTCAGAGTCTTACGACCATTACGCTCTGTTGGGGGTTGACGTCAGCCTTGCGCGATTTCTTGAAACATGGGGAAAGAGGGGAAGGGACAGCGCGCCGATGTCGCACACCAGCGAATTTCGGGGAGAAGGAAGACAGAGGGGATACGTACGTTGAATACGAATATGGATGTAGTTCTGCTGAGTGGACTTTACTTCTCCTCCAGCATCATCAGCCTCCGCGAACGGATCGAAGGACTTGAGATTCTGGATGTCCGTGGTCATGAAATCGACTGGTGGCGCTCTGCGGGTGCTGAAAGGGTGCGGTAGGGCAGGCGGTTGTCGTGTCGCGGGAAGTGGAGAGTGCGGGTGTGTGAGGAAGGTCGCAAGTAGTTGGGTGGAGCGTGGAGGGTATTAATCGGCCAAGGGAAGGGTGGCGAGGGGACTGGGACCACCATCTGGGAGAGCCCGCAGGCGGTCTAAGCCCCGCTGCCAAGGCACAAGGCCCGACACAGTCATCAGCGCTGCTGAGTGTCCAAGGGACATCCTTCATTCACCACTCCTCGCATTCGCTTGTCCACGTGTGAAATGCGCAGCTGCGTTGCCGCAAACCCCGAGTTCTGGTTACTGGTCAAAGACATGACTATCTTCGCGACATGACGTTCCCTTATCTTGTGTCACTATCTCATCACGCACGCGCACGCGCACTGTGACTCGCCTCAACAAAAGCGCATAGTCCATCAAGAGGCTTTGGGCATCATTACTAGTCAAAGTGCAGAAGGCTCATCCACGACTCATGAGCATGTTGGGAGTGGCTCGGTGACTTTCGCGAAGCTTCCACTCGTGTGTGGATGAACCCATTGGTTTCAGATCGAGATCGGAGTCACCTGGATCAGTACTGCGATGTCTTTCGCTGGCAACATTGGAACGCAGAAACCCCGGAACGAGTAACAGGCGACGGCAAGCAAGATGTTCAGAGATGTGTTCAAAACCTCGTTCGCCATTAGCAGGCCCAAGAGCCACGCACATATCGCTGCCCTTTGATACCATTTGCAACTCTATGCTGTACATCGGACGTGCAACAACGCGAGTGTATCTGTTCGCCTATCTAACATCCCTTCTCACTGTCCGTGGTATTCATTTGCGTCCATGCCAGCCATCCGTCGATCTGGCAGGCTCCTCTTGTCCACCAAGCTAATTGCCAGCTCACTCCAAAACTCTGGCGGAAAACCTCGTCCATGTGCGTCCTCGCCTTGTGCTCTCATCCACTCTCCGGTAGCCTTGTAAGTATAGAAGTCGACCATCATCTTCCG